CATCAGAACCAAGCGTACTTTTCTTCTTCTTTTTTCTAAATGTAAATATTTCACTTTTACAATCTCTCTTTCAACTTATTTATGAGACTTATGTTAGAATATTTACTTAAAGTTATATCAGTTTCTTCTTCTTTTTTCTAAATGTAAATATTTCTTGATTTTCAATTTTTTGTTTGTACTTTTGTTTTGAACAAATTTTGCACTTAGTTGTTACTATATTATCCATGAAATCAGCCGGAGATTTTTGATCGAAAGTAGTTATATTAGTGTGTATATATAACATATAGTATTAATTATAAAATAAATTATCTATAATATTTGTTTGCGTAGTGTATAATTTTTAATTTGTTCTACTTTATGAAGCAACATTACTTACTCGAGGTGAGGTGGAAATAATATCAGATTGACCTCATGAGTCATTCAATTTTGTTGAAGGTGTTGAAGATGTTTCTTTTACCATAACTCCAAGAACACAAGTAATAAAATCTATAAAAAAAATTCTTGTTTTTGTGAGTTTGTTTATTTGATTACATATAGTTTGCACTTTTTCTAGTATGTAATTGAGGGTTCAGGTGGACAAGGATACATCTTGGCCTTTCAACCTCTGTTGTTCTAACCTAGGGATGACCAATATCTTTTTAAGATTATTAATACTTTTAGTTTGATACAATATTATAGGTCTTCCGTGGCTTTGTTTATACCACACGATCTTCAATTTCAGGCAAAAACGGATTGACTTTACTCATACTCTCCCCTAAGCTTTTGTGGCTCTGTTGATACCACACTATCTTCCAATAAATGTATGGTGTTTTATATTTAATATTAAATTAGCACCTTATTTTACGTCTATGTAATAAATACTTATGACGCCTTGCTATTTTAATCCACTTTCTATGGCTATGTTTTATTCATGTTTCCTTTTAAGAAAAATAGCAAAATTATTTATTTATATGGAGAAAATTCCAAAATACGACATTGTGCCAATTTCTATATCAAATTAAGGTATTTTAAGGTGAAAAGGCAATTCTCCCATTCTTTCTGCAATTGAAATTCTTGTTTTACCCCTTTTTATAACTCGATTCGA